TGATTCCTGCACTTCAAGGGCTTCTTTCTGGGGCATCCTGTGCACTTCCCTGGAGCCCTTGCTGGGGGCAGAGGTCGCAGGCAGGCCGCCCGAGGTGGGGAATAGCACTGGCAGGGCCCAGGAGGCCCGGACTGAGACTGAAGCAGTGCTAAGACTGAGGGCATGGAGCCTCAGGCTGAGGGGAGGAGGCAGGGGCTGCTGGGTAAAGGTGACAGTAACACGTTTGAGGACTTCACTCTTATAATGGTGAAGAGAATGGACTTGTGGGCAGGAGCCCAGCAAAAGGGCCCTGTGGTGGCCGTGGTGAGGTTGCCTGGATTGCTCCAGGAAATGGAGTTGGGGGAACATCACCAGAACGTCAGGACAGGCGACACTGGGCAGTGGGAGAGGTGCGGGAAGGTGCTGGGTAGGGTGAGGAGCGCTGAGGAGCAGGCCCACGGCCCTCAGGCGAGGCGGGCAGCGCGGGAAGCTGTTGGTTGGCTTCCTTTGTGGAGGATGCAGGTCAGAATGCAGAGTGAACTTCCCGATAGCAGCAGCGTCTCCTTGGACCTGAGAAATCGTCCTCTGAGGAAGCCTTTTGCCGTGAGATTCCAAGCTGACCAGACATGCTTGGTGCTGGGCCACGGAGGGGAGGATTTGGGGTAGACAGCTGGGCATGTGGGCAGACCAGTGCGGTGCCCCGAGTCTGTGCTAACCAGAACACTGCTCAGCTTCAGCCCAGGCATGTCTGGGGCTCTCTGGGGCCATCACGGGGGCTGTCGGGCTGCTGAGCTCAAGGCGCAGAGCAGAACTAGACCCTGCCTTCCCAGAGCCCCTGGCGTCCTCGGCTGCCCTCGGGGGCTGGGCCAGGGCTGGGTGGCCAGGTCTCCCACGAAGCTCTCAACAAGTTCCAGGCCTCTCCTCCTGCGCTCAGATCCCACCCCCCAGTCACACCCCCCCTCCTCACGTCCCTCCGAGGGAGCAGGGAGCTGAGGGTGGGGGTGGGGTGGGGAGGTTTCTAACGGGCCTTGTCCAGCCCTGAGGCCTGTGTAAAGGGCTGGAGGCCGCCAGCCACAGCCCAGCCGCCAGCTTCTCGAATAGGGTCAGAGCTGGTTCAGAAGCCCTGTGTGGGCCGAGCTGAGGGATCCAAGTCGCCTTCCTGGCTGGCAGGGCGTCCCCTCTCCTTGGGTCACAGGGAGACAGGAGGCTTGGCCAGGGAAAGTGGTCTGGAACGGCCCTTTGAGAGTGTCCCTAGGGACTTTTAAAAATGAGTTTCCTGGTAAGGAAGACTCTCAGGCCTCGGGCAGGATTCTCGGTAGAGTCTCCCGGGTTTGCTCTGATCTGACAAACGCCAGCAGAAACCACCCGGCTGTCTGCCTTCCAGCAGTGCTGGGAGCCGTGGCTTCCCCAGATGCAGCGTCAGCAAAATGTCGCAGCCAAGGCACAGCGGGGAGTTTGCTTTAAGGCCGTGCTAAGCCCAGGGGCGCAGAGGTGTGCACAGGAGAGCCCGCCCCTCGGCTTCACTCCTCCGGGTTAAATTCACCCGTCCCTGGCTCCTCCAGGAATGGCTGATGCCACACGTGGTGCCAGAGAAGCTCTCCGATGAGTCATGACTGGCCCAGGCCTCTGTCAGGTGGACGTGAGTGTCCAGGCTGCCCCTGAGGTCATGGGTACCATCCAGAAACGCAGGTGGAAGCGCTGGCCTCTCTGCCACCTGCCGGCTTTTGTGGGACCAAAGTCTGTCTGGGCAGGTAGGTGTATATTTGGAAGGCCCATCCTGAGCCAAGGGCTGTGGGAGAAGGTGGCTGAGGATGCAAAGGGAGGAGAGGAGACCAGAGTTGGGATGGACAGAGTCCATGAGGCCTGATCCACATCTCAGCCCCTCGGTGTTTGACTGCCGGACTCTGGCCAGTTTTCGTATTCCCTCTGATTTCTGTTTTCTGAGTCTGTGAAATGGGCACGCCTGGGAGGTCCAGCACACATGTTGCCCCTGGCAGGGGCCAGGTACTCGCCAGGGCCTCGTCTGTTTCCAACTGAAGTGGGTGTTGCTGCCCCCGTTTGTTGGGGGTGCTGACACCCACCTGGCCAGGGCCAGGAGTTGGATGGAGTCGGTGGGGGTTGGAGAGGGGAGAGGGTAATTGGCGGTGGGGGAGTTGTTGAGTAAACGAAGGGGAGAGAAGTAGACAGGTTTGGGCCAGGCTAGGCTTCCAGCTGCTCTCTGCTGCACAGCCTCCCCTAGTTGTGATTTGAGCATCTGCTGTGCCCAGGCCAGAACACCCACCCACTTCTCTTTCAAGTATCACAATACTTATTATAGATGAAAGTATATAAAATCAGGGCATGAACATGACTTGATAAGTTTGTAGACTTAATCTCTCTCCCTCTCTCTCTCTCTCTCTCTCTCTCTCTCTCTCTCTATATATATATAGATATATAGATATATAGATATATAGATATATAGATATATATACACACACACACATACACACACACACACCAAGTGACCGGAACAACAGAACAACCAGAATGGCCGGTTGCTATGACACATACTGCAGTAGCCAACCAGCCTAATGGGGGCCCCAATCCCCAAACTTCCAGGGCCCCTTCCTCTGCCATCTCTACTCCCAATCCCCCCTACATGGGGGGTGGGGCCATTCGGCCAACCTCCTACATCCCTCTTCACCCCGCCCCCTTGCTGGCCAGACCCCGCCTGTGCGTGAATTCATGCACCAGGCCTCTAGTACTAGAATAAGAAGGACCAATTCATATTCTCACCATTTGTTTCACACCCACAAAAACCACTTCAAGGACACTAACAATCTCTCAAAACTGATCAGTTTTGTGCAAGTAAACCATGTTTCTTTTTAAAAGAACTTGTGCCCTTGCCCAGGGTACGGATTTTAACATCTAGCACATAAAGCCCATTACAGGTAGAAATACAGGTGATACACTATTACATCAACAATCATCAGTTACAGTTAAGGGTTTTTCTGTAACAGCCAAATGAATAATCAAATAATGCAACAACCGAATTATTACTGAGTAATAATACTGGGTGTCACCTGTCCTTCTGCCTGTGCCTTATTCTAGGCATAAGTGGGCCATGGCTTGACTGTGGTGAGGATGGGGAGAAGCAGAGCCCCCGGCAGGGGCTCAGGGCAGACGGCCTGGGGTGAGAACATACGCATGTGCACAATCCTTTGGGCAAAAAGGCTGCAGGACCCATGTGGCAGAGCTGGAGACTCTGCTTTTCCCCGCTGTACCTTGCCCTTAGTTTTGTTCTCCTGTAGGTTGGCCATGGGAGAAAGTAGGTGTGAATGGTAGAGTGATGGTGAAGGCAGCAGATGGCGGAGGCCTCCTGGGTTTAAAGTTCACTCTGTGTGCGCCCAGGAGCCGCAGAGGACCTGAGTGCTGCCTGCTCCCGGGTGCCACCCACATGCTCTCCCATCTCTCCTTTAGCACATCTGACTCTGGGCTGGGAGCACTGATGGGGCACAGGAGGAGGGACATCAGAGGGGCCCCTTAAGCCCTATTCTTCCTTCTTTAAGCAACCAGGATAGCATGGCCTCCTAGGCTCTTAGACACACAGGAAGGCCTTGGTCAGGGGGGACTGGTGGGAATGTTCACCTTTCCTGCTGTCCTCTGGGTAAGCTCCCCAGTGGAGGAAAGCATGCAGTCCCTGCAGCAGAGGCAGCTCCGGCTGTTGGGACTTCATACACACATACATGCACACATGGACCCATCTCAGCCACTGTCCTTGGTATGCCATCACTGCCACAGTGTTCCCATTTCATATTTCAGGAGTGACTCTTACGTGGTCTTCACCAACCCTCTGCCCAGTCTTACAGTCAGTCATTCAACAGTTTTTTACTGAGCATCGAAATGCATCAGAACTTCCCTGCTTTAGACTCTAGGATGCCACAGTGAAAGGCCCCGCTGTCATGGAGCTTGTATGTCCTGTGTGCAAGGGGGTGTGTGTTACAAAGAAGAGTGGCGCAAGTGAAGGGTGACGGGCTGCAGCAGAGGCCTCTGAAGAGGAGGTGTCTGAGGAGCGAGCCTCACTTTCCAGGCAAGGGACAGGGAAGGGCCCTGAGATGAGGATGCATGGACGAGGGCTTTTGGGAGTTTTGAGAAGATCCCTCTGGCTGTGTGTGAGAATAGACTGGGCAGTGGGAAATGGGGGCAAAAGTGGGAGCCTGTGGGGTTGTTGCCATGATCCCCAGGGCCTCACTCGTCCTTCCTCGGTCCTTTCCTCCCTTTTCCCACCACTATCCCGAAGAGCTCAGGAGAGCCTGTGAGATTGGCTTGCCTGCCCCAGCCACTCCAGCGTCCTTTCCACCTGACACATTTGCTCTCTGGGCCACTTGTCACTTACACCTTTCGGACCTCACGGACCACCAGTGGCCTGTGGACCACTGGTTGGCGATGCTGACTTATACCATCCTCCTGACTGTTGACCTTGGTATTTTCCTGTTCCTGCCCTCTGCTGTGGCCGGCCTAGCATGCCCTCTCCCTTCTCAATCTATCTTGGTGCCTTCTCCGCTCTCCCCTCCCCCCCCACTACAGCATGTCCTTTATTTCATCTGTGTTATTTCTGCCTGGGGGTGTGCTGGATTGCTCTACTAGCCTGGAGGCCATGGAGGGCAGGGCCTGTGTCTTATTCTGTTTCTGGTCAGGGTCATCCCAGAGCCCGCCAAGCAGAAGGGCCTCACAGGCTTGTGAATGGCACCTTAGGTCGGAGTTTCCGGCCTTGTCATTTGGAGGAACAATGGTTCTGCTTGTGCTTAGACTGTACTGTGCTTGGACAGTATACTGGCTCATGGCCCAAGGGTCTGAGGCATCTTCAGGGCCTTGGCTGGCTGCTCTGGAGTAGGCCCTGAGCCAACAGGGAGGTGGAGGTGGAGACAGGAAGTGAGGGTAGCAGCAGGACTCAACTCCAGGGCAGAGGCTAGGGCCGGGGGTGGGGCCAGGATGAGGAGACTCAACATGGCCAGCGCTCACACCCCATCCTTGGGTTTCAGACCTGAAGCTGCACCTACAGAGCACTGACTACGGCAACTTCCTGGCCAACGAGGCATCACCGCTGACAGTGTCAGTCATCGATGACCGGCTCAAGGAGAAGATGGTGGTGGAGTTCCGCCACATGAGGAACCACGCCTATGAGCCACTCGCCAGCTTCCTGGATTTCATTACGTGAGTGTGTGCCCTGTAGCGCCTCACCTTCTCCCCAGCTGGGCAGGACGGCTGCATCTGATGGACCTGGCCCAGCATGGCTTAGGTCAGCTGCCTGTAGAGTCCTCCTGGGCTAAATGGCTGGTCTGGTCATACAATAACACGGGACCTCCAGGCCACCACCCATAGAGTAGGGTCACCAGCCACTTCACTTCCGGCTAGGATACTGGTGGGCAGGCACGTATCCATGTTGTAGTGCTGGATGAAGCCCCTTTTCCTGCATCACTGGTGTGACAGAGATTGGGGTGGGGAACCCTTTCCTCACTCACAGCACTCACAGCACCCACAATGAACACTCTCTGGGTTCAGGGTCAGGGATCAGAGGTCAAGGACGGGCAGATATCTGAAGAGCCAGGTTCATGGGATGGACCATTCAGGCTTTCTGACCATGGCTCTGGGCTTCAGGGAGAAGGGATGGTGGGCTTGGGAGTAGAGGCTGAACACCTCGTTGCCTTTACCAGTTTTGGCCAGGCCCCCATGCTTACGACCCTTGACTGCCCAGCTTCCCCATTGTCTAACCCTTGGGTGTAGCCCTGCCTCCACTAAGCTCTTGGCAATGCTGAGAGAGGGAAGGCCTTGTGACCTGCAGGCTAGGGGAGGGAGGGCACTTGGACAAGGCAACCTGTGCTCGCCTGGTGTACTTCTGGAAACAGGGAGGTAGAGGGGCCCCTATGCAGTGACGGCCCAGGAACCATGAGCCGGGGCCTGGTGGACAAACAGATGGGTGAGCAGAGGCACGGTCAGGGCTGGTTTATAGGAATGTGCCCTGCGTTGGTGGAGTGTGTGTGAGTTGTGGGGAAGGAAGGTTTTCAGGCACTCTCCCAGGTACCACCTTGCTTTGACCATTCTCTGATCGCGATCCTCACCCTCTTCCTTGAGACCTGACATAACCTGCCCTGCTGTCCTTGCAGGGACAGGGCTAGACTCCTTCTGCCTGGCCTAATCCGCCCCCTCTGAACCCCCAGGAGCAGCCACTTACGATCCACTAGGACGGTCAAGTGGTGTCAGCGGCTATCGGAGCACCAACCTCCGGTGGGGGCCACAGGTGGGGACACCCTAAGGGCTCAGGAAACCTGCCCAGGCTGGGAAACAGGCTCTCTCCCCAGAGGAATAAAAGATCAAGTTGTTGTTATGTAGGCATTCATTGGTTACTTCTTTATGTGCTCTGCCTGGAGATTGAGCCCACAGCCTCAGTGTATTGGGATGCCGCTCCTAACTAACTGAACCACCCGGCCAGGGCCTTTAGAGTGTATTCTTTCTACTTATGGGGGAGGAAAAAAAAAAAGTGTTTGCCCAGCTGGTGCCCAGGGGCCCTCAGCTGTCCTGACTTGGCTCATAATCACTGCCCTTGCCCCGGTCAAGGTACAACTGAAAAAAAAAAAGGTACAACTGACATGGTCCTCCTGGGGCAGGAGTTCAGAGGTGAGGTGTGTCTTGGGCTGTAGCATTGGGGAATCATTGCACAGAATCCCATCTGTCAATCAACCCCTAGCCTGGGCCTGTGTATCCCTTGCCTCAAGGCCAGAGCTGAGGACATACAAGGAAACTGTGTGTTTATTGCCAGAGCCTGGCCTTCATCGTGTTTGCACAAGGTTCCTCCAGTTTCCTGATGAATGTTCTGGTCTTTCTTGCTGGGCTGGCCAGAGGAGGCCTGACCCAACCCCATGCCAGTGGTCAGAGGGCAGATGTCCTGCATCCCGCCTGGCCACCTGCCTATGTAGCTCGGCCCCCAGCCTGTCTTGGTGCCCTTAGAGGCTTGGTCTCTGCCTGCCAGGCCATGAAACTGGAGAGAGCTCTGAGCGTGACTGAGGCCACACAGCCGCCAGCTCTTTGCTGGAGGTTGGCTGTAAGCACCAAGTATGCTTAGAGCAGCCAAGCGCTATTCTGTGGCAGGCTGTCACTTCCCGCCCCTTCCATTCACGGGTGATTGTGGCTTACGGTCTCCCCATCCCTTTACTCTTTCCCTCACTCGGGAAGAGTTCAGCAGCCACGTGTCAGCCTGTCTGAACCTGTGGTTGCTCAGAACATGACCTTGTCATCTCTCTGCTCCTCTGCTCTCCGCTTCAGCCGCCCCCACCGATGGCTGCCCAAGGCCATGTCACCCCCCCCTGGAACTGCTCCGCCCTTGAAATCGCTGAGTCAGGCACCCCCTCTCTACCCACAGCCTTCAGGCCCTCCAGCCCACTCTCAGTCCCTTGTGGGACGCGGGTTCCGGACTCAGCAGGACACGAGGCCCTGCTTCCTCCCCTGCCGTCCCTCTTTCTTCATTTTCCTCCCTCCCCAGCTGAGGTTCCCTGGTCCATCATTCGAGTGCTCTTCTGCCAACATCCGCAGCTCTCTTGGCTGCCCATCTCATGGTCCCACCCGGCTGGCAGCCCCCCAGCCCTGGAGGAATCCCAGCAGCCTCCAGCCCGGAGGTACCCTCCCCCACCTCCGCTTCTGGGAGCAGAGTTGGGGAAGCCGGCAGCAGCATCGGGCGGGTGAACCCAGCTGCCAGACATGCACTCAGACCAGCTCAGTTGGCCTTGACTTGTCCCTGCCCAGCCAGCCTCTTGCTTTCCCTCCTCGGCCCCTGCAGCATCCCCCTCAAGGGTGGGAAGACCACTCCCCTATCTTAAACACCAACCCTCTCCTGGTCCCCCAACCTTCTCTCTCACCTGCCTCCTGCTCCACAGAGATAATGGAGGCCAGTCCACCTCCCATCGATGCGTCTGTACCTCCAACCCCAATCCAGTGGCTGAGGTGCTCTCCTCTTTTTTTGGGTCCTACTGCCAATGTCCTCTGTTCCCTCCACTCACTCCCTGGATCCCAAGTGGTCAATCATCTGCACTTCTGTCTGTGCAGCCAAATTCCCTTCTGGATTCTTCCTAATTAGCATCTAAAAAACCCGTCTCTCAGGGCTAAACTTGTATTTTATTTATTTATTTTTAGATATTTATTGATTTTAGAGAAAGAGGAGAGAGAGAGAGAGAGAGAGAGAGAGAACCATCTATTTTTGTTCCACCTATTTATGCATTCATTCGTTGATTCTTTTAGGTGCCTTGATTGGCTATCAAACCTGCAACCTTGGCGTATTGAGATGATGCTCTAACCAACAGTTACCCAGCTAGGGCTGGCCTACACTTTTACGTTCAATGTCTGTTCTTTCACCTTTCCCCACCCAGCAGGCCCATCACTCCACCACAGGCCCTGGCTAAAGTCACCACTGCCTTTCATGTGGCCAAGGTCTCCAGGCCTAATTCGGAGCCTCGCTCAGAGGTCACTTCTCTCCATCCCTCAGAATCTCTTCGTTGCCTTCGGCGCTGCCTCAGGGGGACAGGAGTAGGTTCTCCAGGAGGCAGTGAGTTCCTTGTCACTGCAGGTGTGCAAGTAGAAGCTTCCCCTGCCCTTCCCTGGTGAGAGACAGTGTCCCACCCAGCCTTCAGCCTCCACGGATGACCAGTACCAGCTCAGGGGCCAGGCGCGATGCCAGGAGGCAGGGGGGAGCATGGATGCAGTGGGGTGGGTGCCAGTGGTGGTGTAGATAGCTCCTGGGAGGCCTGTGAGCAGCTGCCACAAATAGAACTAGGGGTCACAGGAGGCTTCTCCACATTGAGAGGGCTCCAGGATCAGATGGGGTCAGAGGCTCTATCCCAAGTCTCACAGCAAGTTAATAGCTGGGCCTGGAAACAACCCTTGGTACTAGTACATGTTACTGCAGGAGACGGAGCTGAATCATCCCAAGACCATATGGCTGATGACAGCCTGCTCCAAAGGAAACTCTCACTTAGGGTCTGTCTGCCCCACACCAGGCCACTGCCTCCGCTCTGGCCACCCGCTCTCCCGAGTGGCCTCGCTGGCTCCGCCTGCTCCTGGAGTCTTCTTTCCCTCAGGGTGTCTCTCAGATTTAACCCCTACCTCCCTGGCTGCTCTTCTCCACTCCGCCTCCTCTGCTCTGGCTCAACCCGGGAATGAGGAGTGGGTGTTGTTGAAAGGGGTTGAGGCAGGTACCCATTGGCATGGCAGCCATCTCTCTGTTGGACCAGGAGCCTCAGTGTTACCAGCCTGGAGTGGACAGCTGGAAGGAAGCTTTGTCCCAGGACAATGGCCTCAGGTGCCCAGTGGGCCTGTGAGCACACTGGCCATTCTCCCAGGACACGTTATTCCAGCCGTGTGTCCTGCTGCTTCAGGTTTCCAGATGGGCTTCCTCCCTGTCCTGGCCCTCCGGCCTTTGCTGTCCACATCCAGTGTTTCTGGGTTGATGGCACAACCTCCACAGGTTCTGGATCTAGATCTGCTGGGGTTTCTGGGTTCTGGGTTAGACCTTGTTCCTGCCTTGAGGGAAAGCTGGTACCCACACGGTCTCCTGAGCCCAGGGAAGAGCACACAGGAGCCCTTCAAGGCCCATTAGGCTCAGGTCAAGGGGGAGGACCCCACTGCGCCTCTGGGGTCGGGGCACGATTTTAACGAGAAGGTCAGGGCCTCTCTAGTTTTGCTATAGGCCACACCACAGTCATTCTGATTGCAGGAGGGAAACTGAGGCTTGGCAGTTGGTATGATGAGAGATTTGGATGGATGGACCAGCAGGGGTATCTAGTCATCATGGCCTTCTCACCAGGGCCAGCCTGGGTGGTAAGCAATGGGGTTCCAGCCATGGGGCTCCAGCAGGTGGCGCCAAAGGGCCCAGCAGAGGGACAGGGCTTCCCCGGGGACTCTTGAGAACATCTTGGAGGAAGTGTCTTCCTATTCTCCAACTCCAGCTTCCTGTGGGCCTGTGCTGGATCTACAAATCTTCGGGACACAGGGCGAGGGACGGCCTTTGGGCAAAGGATTACAGACTGCCCCTCTCCCATCCCACGAGGGCCTCTCTGGCCTGGCGGGCAGCCGTCTGTCCATTCCCCAGCTGTCTTCCTCTGGAGGGAGACGCTGACCAGCTGGAACCTCATTCTCTCTTTTGAGGCCAAGCGAAGGGAGGACTGTGGAGCGGCTTTCTGGGGGCTGGGAGGCAACTGCCAAAGCCAGGCGAGGAGGAGGAGGAGGAGGAGGAGGATTTCCCTGGCCACTCAAGTCCTTGGGAGAGAAACGGACAGCTGAGCCAGTGTCATCTCCCTTTTCCCAGGAAAGGAGATTGTGGCTGTCATTGGGCAGGGGGGACTATCAGGGGCTGCCGCTACACTAACCTGTGGTTGGCCCAAGGGGAGGAAGGGTGGACCTGGCACAGTGTCATCACACTGCCTGGCCTGGGTTGGAAGAGGGCCTTGGAAGGGGCTGGGGTGCGATTGCAAGTGACCCTCACTTGGCTCAGCATTTTCCTTGGTGCCCAGCTAGATCCTCTAGCAGGAGAGGCTGGGGGCAGCCAGGGGATACTGCCTCCAGCCCCCACATCTGCTGTCAAGGCTGAAAAGTGAGTCATAACTGGCCTGTTCCCCATCACTGGAGGGATAGCAGCAAAGCCAAATGGCAGAGTCTTCCCACAGGGTTCTCCTGGTGGAGGAGGGGCCTGACCCCAGCCCCACTCCCAACATAAACTAATGCCCTCCAATGGGGCACACGGAGTGGGGAGGTTTAGAAAATAAAGGCTGACTTATGTGGGTCTCTCTGAGAAGATAAAGCTTGATGGGGAACGGAGAACCCTAGGCCAATGGTTGGCAAACTCATTAGTCAACAGAGCCAAATACCGATTACAGGACACCGATTGAAATTTCCTTTGAGAGCCGAAACCCGACTTCTGCGCATGGGCCATGAAGTTTCCATCGCACTGTCCGTGCGCGCCCGCATGTGGTATTTTTGTGGAAGAGCCACACTCAAGGGGCCAAAGAGCCGCATGCGGCTTGTGAGCCGCAGTTTGCCAACCACTGCCCTAGGGCATGGGAGCCCTGGACATGGGTGGAGGTGTGTGGACATCGGCCATGGGGACAGAGAGTCCCTCTGCCTTATGCAATGATGGGGCCTGCGCCTGCACTCTGTGCTTATTTCCTCTGACAGCTGAAGATGCAGGTGGTTGTGGGGTCATTGGACTCGTTTCTCCCTGCCTGCCCAGAGTGCTGTGGCAGCGTAAAGAGCGACATGAGGTTCGGGGATCATGGTGGCCAGACTGGGGCTGGGTGAGGTGCAGGCAGGAGTGTCACGGTGGCGGTGTGGCGTGTAGCATGGTTCTGGGGCGTGTGAGATTCTGGAAGCATGAGGGGAGGCTGTTCAGGGAAACTGAGGCTTGGCAGTTGGGATGATGAGAGGGATGTGCTGTTCAGAGTGGAGAAGATGCAGGCTGGGGCCAGAGACCAAGGCACAAAGCTCTCTCCGAGGTGCTTCCACTGTGCCAGCTGTCAGGCCAGGGTCAGAGGGCTGGCATTGGGGCCGCTGGCTTGCAGCTGCAGATGGGCCGTGCCTGAAGCCCTCGGTTTGGGAGGGGGGCCTGTCTCTTCTCAGCACACATCCTGCAGTTGACCCAGCCAGACGGGGCGGAGAGAGGGCAGTTGCCTGGCCCCAAGCCCAGGAGAGCAGAGGTTGTAGCAGGGCGCGGGGCCGGGGGAGCAGCAAGCAGGCGGAGAGTGGGGGTCAGGCCAGGACAGGAGCTGTGGCTTCTTCCTTCTGCCGCCTTCCTGGAGGGCCCTGTGGGAGTTCCCCCAACGGCCAGCCCTCTGGGCCGAGGCCTGGGCATCAGCCTCCTCCCCTTGGTATTGGGGCCTGCCGCCTCGGATAGTATCGACACTGGTGCGCGGTTACTACCTCAGGACGGGTACTACCTCAGGACGGGCCTGGCTGTGGCCCACACACACGCTCAGGGCAGCTGCCTCCACCCCAGCCTCGCCCTCCAGTGGGAGCCCCCCTTCGGCCTTGGAGGATATCTGCCAGCCCGCTCCCTTGTGCCTTGAACTCCTCGCTGGTGCCAGGCTGGAGGGATGTTGTGGCTACAGCAGTCGGACTGTAGCCGCCCCCCGGCCCTCATCCCCACATAGGTGACTGCGCAGAACTAGCTGCAGTCCTTTTGAGGTATTTTCTTCACTGTTGGAGGCAGAGCTTGCCACTTTTCTTGGCATGGTGACCTGGGCAGCCCCACCCTCTCCAGCTCCACAGCCCCCTCTGGTGCCCATGTATCCAGAGCCGGGAAAGGGGGAGGCGGGGGCCTCTGCCTGGGACTGACCTGAGCCCAGCCTCCGGTCCAGGCCTCTGGGCCTTCTCCAGGCATCCTGGACAGGCGCCTGCCCTGGCCTCAGGCCCTGAAGGAGGCGGTGCTCAGTCTTTGGAGCGGGCTGCGCGGGGCAGCTGTCTGCCTGCTCGTCGCTGCTTGACCTGGGTCCTTATTCCAGAGGGGCCTTCCCACCGGCTCCTCTCCAGCCTCCCCTAGAGCTCTCCCCACCCCTCTCCCCACTTTCCTCCCCCACAGTCTTCTCCTCTCACTCTGTTCCCACCCAGCAGCCAGCAGGACCCTAACTGGACTGGATACCCCTGCTTCTTCTATCCTGCTCGTGTAGCCCCTGAGCTCGAAATGAAAGCGGGACCCTCAGCCCAGCCTCCAGGCCCCGGCCTGCTGGCAGCCCTGCCCCGGTTCCCTTCCCTCTGCCAGCCCTGGCTGTGCTCGGTTCCTCGAATGCATCCGTCACTCAGTGAATGCCTCCAGGTTTTCGCACACATTGTTCCCTCTTCACAGAACACTCTCTCATCTCCCAGCTCTTTCATCCCCGGGGCTGGCCAGTGGCCACACCTCCATGTGCCCACAGTTCCCCTGTCCTGCCAGGACACTGTTCACACCTGTTTCCCAATCACTTGTGGGGCATGGATCCCATCCTCCTTCCACCAAGGGAGGGGCCACGCCTGTCCTGTGTGTCCAGTACTGAGTAAGGGGCACGCTTGGGCAGGGAAAGGAGGCAGCATTCATTGTCCAGGGGCTGGGCACCTGTGCAGGGTGCGGGCAGGGGCGTGGTGCCAGGACTTCCCGGCCCCCTGACAGTCTGCCTGCTCTTGTGTCTCCTGTAGTTACAGCTACATGATTGACAACGTGATCCTGCTCATCACGGGCACGCTGCACCAGCGCTCCATCGCCGAGCTGGTGCCCAAATGCCACCCGCTAGGCAGCTTTGAGCAGATGGAGGCCGTGAACATTGCGCAGACACCTGCCGAGCTCTACAATGCCATCCTGGTGGACACGCCCCTGGGTGAGCCACTGGGGCGGAGCGGGGGAGGCATCAGTGCCAGTGCCTCAGTGTGCGGTTTGCAGACCCCTGGGGGTGACCCTCACTCAGAATTGAGCCCTGCCCGCTGGCTTACCTTCCCATTCCTTCCTCCTCACCGGACCTTCTTTGCTGTTGCTTTTGCTTGGCCAGGCAGGCTGCACCCAGGGCCCGACTCAGACCACCTAACTTTGTGGAATTGGATGAGTTCTCAGAATGCAGAGGAGGCTGAGCTCAGGGAGAGGGTTGAGAGGCCTGGGTCGGAGTACTCTCAGACTGACCTCAAGCCGGGCGGGGGTGGCAGGCTGCCCGTGAGCAGGGAAGGGAAGCCAATAGCTTCACTCGCCTCTACTGAGCAGGTCCCAGGGGCCAGGACAGGCAGTGTCCAGCAGGATACAAGGTTCATGTTCGAGGCCACGAAAGGGGAACTGAGAGCTTCCTGCAGGGCCCTGCCTAGGCGGTGCTGGTCCTGCCTGCCGGGCCGGCTGGGTAGAAGGCACCAAGGCTGTCCCCAGCTAGTGTCCTCAGAGCCAGAGTCCTTGTCCCCTGGCACCACCTCCAGGAAGCTCCCAGGGCTGAACCACTGGGATAGCCTGGGCTGTGATTGTGGTACCAGCACCCCGGAGGGGCTGCACCAAGGATCCTGAGCCCTACGCGCTGGCCTCACCTGTCATAGAACCCCCTCGCCCAGGACTTTGGAGTTATTTGTGGCCTCTTCAGTTTCTTCATCTTTAAAGAAGTGGCACCACAGGTTCCCCTTTGGGTGGGGTGGCTATATCCTGCGCTGCCACTACTTCCAGCCCGACAGGGGCCCCTTGGTCAGTGAGCCTGTGCCCCCCCAGATGTTGAACTCGTTCCTTGTCCTGAGGAGGAGGAGGCTGGTTTTCCAAATGTGGGGGATGCAAAGAAGTGGGCGTCAGGCCCCAAATCCACAGTTGTCCCCCTCCTCCCCCGCCCTGGCCCAGAAGAGAGGATGTTGTGGTCTCTTATGCAAGGCTCCTTTGGCATGGCGAGCTTGGGTCTGCCCCAGCAGCGATTAGGTCATGTTATGGCTGGCGGCCTGCTTTATAAATCAGCTTTAGAAGCAAGAAGGCTCAGGTCAGTGTACATAGTCCAAAGGATTGCTTCTGCCCCTTCCAAGGCAATAACCAGGGTGGGGGCCCCCGATACCCCGCCAAATGGACCTTGTGGCAGGGGCCCCAGGATCCTTACTTAAGTGCACACACCCAGCCCTCACACCCGTCTTTCCTCCCCAGCGGCTTTCTTCCAGGACTGCATCTCAGAGCAGGACCTCGATGAGATGAACATCGAGATCATCCGCAACACGCTCTACAAGGTAGTGCCCCCGCCTCCCCTCCCCCAGCCCACGAATAGCGGGGGGTTGGCTTGCAGGCCGACGGGCTGTGGGCGTGGCGGCCTGTGATTTGTGGGGGGTGCTGGGGCAGGGCGCAGCTGCGCCAGGCTCCCACCCCGGGGGCTTATCCGCTCGCTTTCTGGCTCCCGTGATGGGCACAAGGCCGCATGGAACAGATGCCCACGGCGGCCTAGATAAGATCGGCAGGCGTGGCGGGTGCTCCGCGGCTTGGCTTGTCAGAGCTGGCTCCTGGGTGACTGCTCTCCCCGATCCCACAGGGTCACGGGCTACCACCCAGGCCTTAGCGCTCCGCTCTCCCACCTGGCCTGCTGCCAGCAAGTACAGGCACGTGAGCAGAGCAACCGTGCGCTCAGTTACGGTGAGAGAGGGACCCAGCCAGGTGTAGCCAGGCCCCCCTGTCAGGTTCCCAGGCCAGAGCCAGTGCCACGTCCCATCATCCTCACCCCCCACCTACCTTCTGCTTCCCGCCAGGCTGTGCCATGGGCTGGTGACCCCTGGAGGAAGCGTGGGCTTGGGATTCCTAGACCAGCATTGTCCTGGCTTAAAGAGGTGAAGGGCAGAGCTGGCCAGGGACCAGTGAGGGACATTTGGGATAGACTGGGCTGTCATTGTGGTACCAGGACCCCTGAGGGGCTGCAGCCAGGAACATGGGTCAGCAGCGGGTAAGGCCCTGAGCGGGGCTGAGGCTGGCACTGGCCAAGGGCCCTGCTGACCTAACCTGAGAACATGTCTATTGGCTCTTCATAGCGAGGGGCCTCTCCTGCCTGGTTGGAGGTAGGTGGCTGACTCCTGGCTGCATCCTAAGCCCAGGCCCTCTAGTCGCCCTGCAGGGGTCGGGCCAGAGTGAGGGAGAGTCTGGGGGGAGTGAAGGACCTACCTGGGGTGCAGTGGGGTGGTAGGGAAACAGCACATGCAGACAAGCATGGAGCATGGCCAGTGGCAAATGGTCTGTAGAAGTACCGGTTCCAGATGGACAGATGGGTCTGGAAGCAGAAGCAGGCACAGGAGCCGGGAATGTCTGGTCAGAAGTTTGAACTTGATCCTGTGTGCAGGGCCAGCAATAAAGGTTTCCCGCAGGTCAGAGTATCATCAGAAAACCCCTCTGGTTGCAATGTGGAGGGCAGGGTAGAGGGGACAGTACCAGAGGGAGGCAGACTCAACTTCTTTCATCCTCAGAACTGTCTTATCGGTGTTTTCATCTGTAAGATGAGGCAGCTGAGGGCTCAGAGGTAGAATGGGTTGCCTGAAGCCACTTGCTAGACACTGAGAGCATTGGGGATCACACCTGGATCAGCCTGATTGCAAAGCAAGCTGTCTCATCCACCCGCTAGTAGGGAGGCAGGGTAGCAATTAGTAGAGAGAGAGTGTGTGTGCTCCTGCGCGCCCAGCTGGCCTGTTGCCGGGATCCCTGTCCTGACACAGGGTGAGGGGTGCGGCTGTCCCCCCAGCCTTACCCACACCCTTACCGGGCCTGACTGGTTCTATCTGGAGTCACTGGTGAGGGCTGCCTGGGCACCAGCTTGTAAACATTGATCCAGTGCTGCAGGCACCGTGCCAGGACCGCCCGCCCAGCAGGCAATGTCCCAGCCCAGTGGCCACAGATGGGAGATTAGGCGGACCCTCAGCCGCCTACTGGGTGGGAACTGTAGTTAGCTGGCACAGCCATGGACTTAGGAGACTCCTCCAGGGCACAGGGTGGGGGTGGGAATATGACCTTGGTACCTGGGCCTTTGGGGTCCTGCCAGTTTCTTCAGCTGCCCTGGCCTCCAGAAGAGAGTCTGGGTGTGTCCACCAGCCTCCTTCACCTTGGGGTCAGCCTATCTGCATTAGCATCCCCCACAGTGAAGAACTGCAGACCACACTGGATGGAGCAGGCCTGGGGGTTTGGGTGCAGCCAGTATGGCTGGCCACAGGGAAGGAAGGAGCTGGGGACAGTCCTTTGAGAAGGACTGAAAGGTCCCCCATGCCATAGTAGTATGGGCAGCTGTTTCTGGGGATCCGCTGTGCTATGACCCCTTCCCCCCCCTCCAATTCCTTCTCCCTGCCCTGTCCCAGACTTTTGTTTTCTGTGGCCCAGTGGCCTTTCTCTGAGCCCAGCTTGCCCATTGCTGCTGACCAGGTTGGGCTGGGTTACTGACTCCCAGGCCTCCTCTCACCTGCTCCTGGGGCAGCACAGCTGGTGGCCCAAGCCAGCTGGTGGTGGGTGCAAAGGTCTCTGCACCTTGGAGGGCAGACCTTGGCATGGGAAGCTTCCCGCGCTCCCGGCCCTCATCCCCAGAGTAGTCTCTAGCCTGTGAAGCCAGTGTCCCTGTGACTGGCCGCCTGATGAGGCTCAGGAGGCCCGGAGTGCAGGGGGCTCTCCAGGGAGGCTGCGGAACCATTCCCGTTCCTGACATAGAAGCTGTGGGCCAGGAAGCCTGTATGGCTGCTTTAAGAGTGAGTGCTGGGGGGCCTGGGGCCCAGCAGATCCAGTTTGCCTTGGCAGGAAGTGCTTGTCTCCTCCCCCCCTCCGCCCCCAGCAGGCAGCTGCAGGTCAGCGTGTCCAGCTATGGCCATTGCCCTGCAGGGCTCACATCCAAGGGGGCAATAATCATCTCTCAGCAGGAATCAGGTTGGCAGTTTAGTTCCTACTGTGTGATGCCCAGGGGGTGGGAGGAGGGGGAAGTGTTCTGTAAGGTGGAGGCCAGGAAGGGCCCGGGCGCCCAGGCCAGGCCATCTCCGTGAACCCTCAGGAGTAACCTTTCCTCACTAGCCCATCGGCAGGTGGTTTTCTGGGACTGAGGAGAGAAGATCTGGGGGAAAGGCAGGCAGAATAGTAGAGAAAGATAGAGTCTCCCTCTTAGCCTGGCCTTTCTGTGGGATGAGGGCGTGCGGGGCGCTGCACCATGAAGCAGACAGTTGGCCAGAAATTGCTGTCACTCCTGGGTCAGGGACCAGGCAGCAGGCTGTTGCTGCTTGGCTGGTGAACAGTTGGAATCGTGGCTCTTACAGGGCTCTGATGTGGGGCTGCCATGGACAGTCCCAGGACTGGGGAGGGAAGCGCGAACTATGAGTAGGGGGCCTGGGAAGCCCCCCGCCCCCTGGTCTCCCTGCTTGAGCTGAACACGCCCCATGCTCTGTGCAGGCCTACCTGGAGTCCTTCTACAAGTTCTGCACCCTGCTGGGCGGGACCACGGCCGATGCCATGTGCCCCATCCTGGAGGTAAGCGCCCTCCCTCCCTCCTTCCCGCCGGCCCCTGGGAAAGACAGGCCTCCGGGAAGCCCTGCCAACTGACTGGCTACTGCCGTCCTCCCCCCTCTCTCCTCGCCTCTGCTCTGGCCCCACAGTTTGAAGCAGACCGCCGCGCCTTCATTATCACCATCAATTCCTTCGGCACGGAGCTGTCCAAGGAGGACCGTGCCAAGCTCTTTCCGCACTGTGGGCGGCTCTACCCGGAGGGCCTAGCGCAGCTGGCTCGGGCGGATGACTACGAGCAGGTTAAGAACGTGGCCGACTACTACCCGGTGAGTGCCCGGGCTGCGGGACCAGGGGGCGGGCATAGTGACACTTGCATCCCCCCACTCCCACCCTCCCACCCCCCAACCCCCCCCAACAGTGCCCTCATGCTCTCGCTTCCCACCGCTCTCCTGGGCCAGGAGTACAAGCTGCTTTTTGAGGGTGCAGGCAGCAACCCTGGAGACAAGACCCTGGAGGACCGCTTCTTCGAGCATGAGGTGGGTGCCAGGCCCGCCTGTCACAGGGAGGGTGTGGCGGCTTGGGCCTGCCTCTGCTCATGGCCACCTGCCTCTGTCCGCAGGTGAAGCTGAACAAGCTGGCCTTCCTCAACCAGTTCCACTTCGGCGTCTTCTACGCCTTCGTGAAGCTCAAGGAGCAGGAGTGTCGCAACATCGTGTGGATCGCCGAGTGCATTGCCCAGCGCCACCGCGCCAAGATCGACAACTACATCCCCATCTTCTAATGCCCTGGCCCAGGGCTCCCCGGGGGTGTGCGTGTCTGTGTGTGATGTGACCAAGGCCACGGCTCGCCTGCCGGCCCTGGGGGTACTGCATCTTGTCCTAGCGGCTGCCCAGCTCCCCTCATCTCCTGAGACTGCTCTCGGACCTGGGTACCTGCCCCCCCTGACCAAGATAGACCAAGTTCCCCTCCAGATCAAGCCCTGTTTACAGCCACCCACGTGTCTAAGCAGCATGTGGCCACTTTCGTGCCCCTCCAGAATGAGAACCCCTAGTAGCAGCGGAGCCTCCTCACCCCTCTGTGGTCACCCCAGAACCATGGCCCAGGGGAGACTGTGTGTATGTGTGTGTGTCCTTGGGGTGTGGGGGAAGCAGCTGTGCGTCCCTCTCCCTCAGCCCCGCCCCTCTGAACAATAAACTGCCCTAAGCCGTGTCCACTGTCTCCTCTGGGGCTCCCAGCTCCTCGTGGGTTCACATTCCTGAGCCCACCCTGCCTGCCTAGCCTTCTGCCTCCCGCAGCCGCTGGCAGAGGCAGTCCCAGGCTGGCCCTCTATGGAGCGGCCCGATTCCTCAGGGCGGGGGCGCCCTGGGGGAGAGCTCCATCCTCTGTCGGAGGCCTGGGGCCTGGCCCTGGAGGGCCCCCAGGCTTCCCTATTGGCTTCATGGAGCTCCCCCATTCCCGAGGTCAAGGTAATCACCCCCATTTCAGAGGAGGAAACTCAAACCAATGGATAAAGGATCTGTCAAGGTCAGTGAAGAGGGAAGGTGAGAACCAGAGTCTGTACCCAGAGCCTCGTCCCCCATGCTGAGCCCCAGGCAGTTCTCAGTGTGTCACACAGCCTGTCATCCCTCCACACACAGGGCCTCCCCCATTCTAGGAGAAATAGACATTTATTTAAAAATGGCAACCAGGCAAGTGGGATGTGCAGCCTCCCTGTGCTTGGGGGCTTGGGTTGGGTGGTCAGGGCCCTAATTCTTGAGCCAGTCAAGAAAGAGTTGGGATTTACCCTTTGAATCGCAGCACTGAGGCGCTAGTGCTGAGAAAGAACCTGAGGGGGCCCCAGCCTACCCTGTCACTTGGCTTGCAGAGGCACTGACTGCGGGAACCTGTCAAAGGCTACAGCTACGTTTCGCACTGAGCTCCCCATCCAGCTGGGTTCTCGCAGCTGCAGGGGGAGCCGTGTGCCCCCCCGTTTGGGCTCATGAAGCAGCAGAGGGGACCAGAGGTTCACTGGGAAGCCTCAGCCTCACCAGGCCTGACCTGGGGTATCGGCAGTGGGTGGGGCCAGCCTCTAGGACAGACTCGGGTCACAAAGCCCGAGGGAGGCCCCAGGACTCATGGGCCATCCTCTGCTGGACTTGCCGAGACCAGAGATGCACACTGCTCATTGGGCCGCGTTTGGGTTTGGGTCTGGGGCCTGGGCGGCATCCTCGGTGGGGGCAGAGTCAGGCTGGCCAGGCCGCAGTGCGCTTGGCAGACCGGGGCGGATGAAGAAGGTTTGCAGGAAGCGGCGGCGCAGGTCCTCGGGCAGGTAGTGGTGGATGAAGTACATGAGCCCCACGCCGCGGCCCGGGTAGTAGCGGCTTTGCGGCTGAGCTGCCAGCAGGGCATCAATGATGGCATCCACCACCGGGTTGAGGTCGGGCAGTGCCAGGCTCAGCGAATCCAGGAACTGCCCGTGTGCATGCTCGATGTAGTCCTCGCCGTAGGCCTGCAGCAGCTCTTGGGACAGGCTGCTCAGCAGCAGCCGTTTGCGCCGCTCCCAGTTGCTCACGTTTTTCACCGACTCTGGAGAAAAGGTGGTGAGTGAGGGGTCAGCTAGGAAAGCCGACTCAGCAGCAGCCCACTTCTGGCCAAAGCCACGCTCATTCCAATCCCTGCCCCCACAGTCACCCCTCTTTTCCAGCCCCAGGCTGTGACCTGCCCCCCAGCCTTGACCCTCACCTGTCTTGAAGCAGCCAGGCTGGATGACGCTGACCTTGACCCCCCAGGGCAGCAGTTCACAGTTGAACGTGTCCATGAGTAGCACCACGGCTGCTTTGGAGGTCCCATAGGCCCCCAAGCATGGATAGGGCATGTCTCCTGGGGATGGATTGGGGGGGGATGGGTTGGGGGTGGGCAGCTCAGCCTGGGCTGGTGGCTCCCACATCCCTCCCCATGGAGGGGCTCCTTTTTTTTTTTGCTGCTACGTGGGAATGCACTCACCTGCCGGGCTGCCCACGGTCACAATACGACCCCTGGAGCGGCGCAAAAGGGGCAAGAGGCCCTTGGTGAGCTGCAGGGTGCCAAAGAAGTTCACCTCCATGCACCTGCGGAACGTGGCCAACGGAGACAGCTCCGCGTCGGCCACTATGTCGTTGAGGCCTGCGTTGTTGACTAGGCCCCACAAGCCTGAGGGCATGGAGCAGGGAGGGAAATGAGGGGTCAGCCCAGCAGCAAACCTATAATCCCCGCCCCTTCATGTCCACCCTGCCACCCTTCTCCGGGAGCCGTGCCCGCTGACCTGTGCTGGTGGTATGGGCCTTGGTGAACTCCAGGGCGCGGCTGATGTCACCTGGCTTGGTCAGGTCCATCTGCAGCAGCCTTAGGTGAGGGGAACAGCAGGCACGCAGCTCCAGGGCGCCGGGGCTTTCCAAGTCCAACACGGTGGCCAGCACCTTGAAGCCCATGGCATCTAGCTTCTTGGCCGCCTCCATGCCAAAACCAGAGTCACAGCCTGGCCAGGGCAGGGCGGGGCAGCCAGTGAACTCCCACTGTGGCTGCTCCAGCCTGAGACAGCCCCAGGATCACCAGGGACCAGATGGGATCCAGGCCCAACACCCAACCTACCAGCAGCCCTCCCTCCTCTCAGGCCCTTTGAGCATCAACTCTTTCCTAGCTGTCATCTCCCTGACTCCCCATAGCAACCTCATCCATCATGGCTTATGAGCCCCACTTTACAGATAAGGAAACTGAGGCCGAGTATTGCTAAGTTGCTTCCCAAAGTCACTCAGCCAGTAAGAGTGAAGGACTCTATTCCAGGTCAGCCTGAGACCCAGTCCCAGCCCTCGTGTCCTGCCTGCTTGATACCAAGTTTCTGCTCAAATGGTCAGTGTTACTGCACAGCCTCCCTTTTGTTCTGGCTGCCCTTGCCCAGGCTCCTTCCTCCCACCTGGACGCTGAAGCAGCCCCCTCTTCAGTCCTGTCCCATCTTAATCCCTAAGCAGCCAGAAAGATCTTTCCAAAAATGACAATAGAACTCGGCTGCAAAAACCTTCCCAAGGCCCCACAGTGAGCGGGATGGAGCCCAAGCCCTCGGCCCCTATCTTCCAGGCTCTGCCCAACCTGCCTCCCCAACCTCACACCCCCTACTGTTGTTCCAGGCCAGCGGGAGGCCCATCCCCACCTTCCCCAGTCCCCCACCCTTGGAATTTCAACGAGTGGCAACAGAGAGGCATTCTCTGAGCTCCAGACCACTTGCCCCCAGGACAGGGACAGTGATGGATGGAGAGAACAGACCTGCATTCTAATCCCTTCCCAAGCCCACCGAGTGTGACCTGAGGTCAGTTACCACTCCTGGAGACATAACTCCTGCCTTTGGTATGCAGAGAGAAACCACCAGGCATGGCGGTGCATGGCAGTCGATAAGCCTGCTTCCTTGATTGTTCCCATCCCCATCCAGGTTCCTCGCTGGCCTCCCCCCTGAGCAGAAGCTGCAAAGCTGCTCTGCTTTCCTGTTTCAGGACGGCTCTGCACCCCCTCCCTGCCACGAGGCAGACGGCACAGCTGGGCAGGGGGCTTTGAGCTGGGCGTTGTGCGGCTGGGGGCCTGCCAGCCAGTCCAGGCTGGGGACAGGGCGGGAGGAGGGGTCCTTCCTGGGCAAGTCTAGCTGGGGCAGGCAACACCCCCACCCCAACCCCACCCCAGAGCAGACAGGTCCTTCCCAAGAAAACGGGGCCTCCCAGCACAGTTAATGACACCTTGCACCCCGTCTTACTCACCTGCACCCACATTCCTGTACATACCTTCAACCTTCAACCTACCTGCAGTAGATGTGAGCAACACCTTGGCTCACTCCCAGGAGACCCCTGCCACACATCTGTGCACAGATGTGCACTCCAGGTGCCCAACCCCTCAGCCCAAACCCTGACTGCAGGGCTGAGCTGCTCAGTAGCCTTGGCCAGTGGTTCTCAGGGAGGGATAGGTGGCAGGTGGGGCAGGACCTGGCCCCCTACTGACCTCACAGTAAGAGAGGAAGGACCTCCAGAGTTTTGGGAGCATTGGGAAACGTGGAGGCTGATATCCGACTCTTAAATGGGAGGGATGCGCAGTCCTCCCCCACTCCCCCATTGTGGGGCTCTGCAACCAGAGAGGGGGGATCTCAGGTCACAGAAGGCATTCCTCCTCACACATGCCTCTCAGACTCAAGGCTAGAAGTAAGCAAAGCCTGAGGTGAGACCTCAGGAAAGACCCAGTACTTGCAGACAGGCTGCCTTCTGTTGAGACAGCGCAAAGGTTAGAAGGCAGGAGGGGAGCTGGCCCGTCTCTGGGGGCAGATCACAATCCGGTCTCTACTTCATACTAGGAGCGTCTGTCATCTTCTCCAAACAACTGAAAGTAGGATCCCCTAAGTCTTTACACTGCACCCTAAACTCAGGTCTCCCCCATCTGGCCCGAGCCCTGCTCTGTCTCCCCACTCTCTTTGTTTGAAGCCCCAAGTCCTTGTGCACCCTCACCCCATCTCAGCACAGAGCATTCAAGGCCCCACCTGAGGAAACAAGTCCACATCCCACCATGTCCAGCAGCCAAGCTGATGATGGATTGTCCCCTGTCCAGACCATGCTCATTCCTGCCGTAAGCCTTTGTCCCACACCCTTTGTCTCCTACAAAGCACCTCCTTACTCCGCCTATCTCCACCCATCCTCGGAGGCCCCACTCAAGGATGGCCTCCTCTGAGAAGTTCTCCAAGCTCCATCTGGTCATGCAGGGCCCCCTGTTGGACTGAGGTCTCTGAGAAGCCAGTCTGGTGGCTGCCCCCGACCCACGTCCAAAGTAGAGGCAGAGCCCTGAGCACCTGACCGAAGCCATGGGAGGGGGGAGAGACTAAGCTGCCCTCCTCCCCGTACCATGGAGCCAGTGCCACCTGGCCTCTCCCCCTCCTCACTTCCCGCTGGGCCTCAGCCCCCCTCTCCCTTCCCTCGATCTGGTGACAGATTTATTCCCAGCTCCAGACAAAGGGAGCTCTGCCAGGCAGCAAAAGGCACCTGAGCCCAACTCCCTAAGGCCTCGTGCCTGGGCACAAAGGACCAGGAAGAATGAGGGTTGGGGTGCAGACGAGAGACTCGCACGAGTTTGAGGGTGGCCAGCTGGACCTGAGAGGCGCCTGAATACCCAGCTGTTTCTCATGATGACCCCAAGCTTTTCTGGATTCCAAGGGCACCAGCCCAGTCAGG